ACTCCTCCTGATAAAGGAGTTGTAGGACCTTGCTCCAGTTCTTGTGGAAGGCTGCCCTCAGAACGGCAATCCACCTTGGTGACTGTGAACTTTATCAGCTCTTGTTACTGTGCTGCTCGAAAAGCAGCTTCTCACAGAACTCACTGGAAGCTGCCAGCAGGTGGCGGTAACCCTGACAATTCTGTCACTACTGTGTGACTTAAATCATCCCCTCATAAATCTTAGAAGTAGCTTGCCCATAGACAGAGGTATTGCATACTGCACCCTCTTCACTGGGCACGACCCACCTGCAAGCCTCGGTGACCTAATGGGGGTGGACCCCTTATTGCACACGGTCCTTGCTTCAATGACCTAATGGGAATGGACCCCTTGCTGCGCACTGTCCACCTCCCGGCCTAGGTGACCTAATGAGGGTGGGCCCCTTGTTTTATTGCTCACAACCCTATACTATCCTTAAAGATGATTTCACTCACTGCCCTGCCCCCTAACCTATACACAATAAATACGCTTCTGGACATTTGGGGCCTTGCCTGACTCTGCTCACAGGTGGCATGGCCCCCTGAGCCCAGCTGCATTTTCCTTGTACTTCTGTGTCCTGTCTCTTTATTTCTAGGATGCTGCGCCTCAGCACAGCATAAGGGACACCCCACGACCCTGTGGGGCCTTCAGCCCTACGGAAACCCCCGTCTCTACTAAAAATACAAAAAAATTAGCTGGGCTTGGTGGCACATGCCAGTAGTCCCAGTTACTCAGGGGGTTGAGGCAGGAGAATTGCTTGAACCAGGAGGCGGAGGCTGTAGTGAGCCAAGATCTTGCCACTGCACTTCAGCCTAGGTGATAAGAAAGAGACTTTGTCTCAAAAAAAAAAAAAAAAAAGAAAGGAAGAAAAAAGCTGGTGGCCAGGTGCAGTGGCTCACACTTGTAATCCCAACACTTTGGAAGGTGGAGACAGGAAAATTGCTTGAGCCCAGGAGTTCAAGACCAGCCTGAGCAACATAGCAAGACCCTGCCTCTATAAAAAATAAAAAAATTAGCCAGGTGTGGTGGCGCATGCATGCGTATAGTCCCAGCTACTCAGGAGGCTGAGGTGCAAGGATTGGTTGTCCCTGGAGGTCAAGGCTGCACTGAGTTGTGATTGTGCCATTGCATTCCAGCCTGGGTGACAGTGAGACCTGGTCTCAATAAATAAATAAATAAATAAAAAGAAAAGAAAAAAAGAAAAGGCTGGTGGGCAGGGTGGTGGTGTCTGTTCCTTCCTTGGCCATAAAAGGATGCAGCTAGACAATACCATCTATGAAGAGCAGAGGGAGCCTTCATCAGACTCCTAACCGGCTGGTGGCACCTTGATGTTGGATTTCTCACCCTCCAGAACTGTGAGCAATACATTTCTGCTGTTTCTTTTTCTTTTCTTTTCTTTTTTTTTGGAGACGAAATTTCTTTTTTTTTTTTTTTTTTTTTGAGCTGGAGTTTTGCTCTTGTTACCCAGGCTGGAGTGCAATGGCGCGATCTCGGCTCACCGCAACCTCCGCCTCCTGGGTTCAGGCAATTCTCCTGTCTCAGCCTCCTGAGTAGCTGGGATTACAGGCACGCACAACCATGCCCAGCTAATTTTTTGTATTTTTAGTAGAGACGGGGTTTCACTATGTTGACCAGGATGGTCTCGATCTCTTGACCTTGTGATCCACCCGCCTCGGCCTCCCAAAGTGCTGGGATTACAGGCTTGAGCCACCGCGCCCGGCCTTGGAGACGAAATTTCGATCTTGTTGCCCAGGCTGGAGTGCAATGGTTTGATCTCAGCTCACTGCAACTTCTGCCTCCCTGGTTCAAGTGATTCTCCCGCCTCAGCCTCCCGAGTAGGTGGAATCACAGGCATGCACCACCATACCTGGCTAATTTTTGTATTTTTAGTAGAGACGGGGTTTCTCCATGTTGATCAAGCTGGTCTCAAATTCCCAACCTCAGGTGATTTGCCCACCTTGGCCTCCCAAAGTGCTGGGATTACAGGCGTGAGCCATTGTGCCCGACCACATTTCTGCTGTTTCTAAATTACCCACTTGGACGAAGGCATAGCCCAAGTGCAGAGAGCATGAAAAGACACTGGAGATCTGGCTGGATTCCATGGGGCCATGCATTTCACTTAGGGCTCTACTCCTCGAGTAAGGGGGAGACAGAAACAGCAGAACTCTACTTGCTCTGGTGAGATCACACCTTGGGTGGAGACTTCCTAAAATGAGGTTTTTGGCCCATAGAATGTAAATTGAAGGGTGTCTGGGGGAGCTAGCCCACCATAACGGCCACCAGTCCCCCTAAGTAATTCCTACTTAAACTATATCTACATAAATAAACATATATAGTGTGTGTAGGCCGGGCGCGGTGGCTCAAGCCTGTAATCCCAGCACTTTGGGGGCTGAGGCAGGTGGATCACGAGGTCAAGAGATCAAGACCATCCTGGTCAACATGGTGAAACCCCGTCTCTACTAAAAATACAAAAAATTAGCTGGGCATGGTGGCGTGTGCCTGTAATCCCAGCTACTCAGGAGGCTGAGGCAGGAGAATTGCCTGAACCCAGGAGGCGGAGGTTGCGGTGAGCCGAGATAGCGCCATTGCACTCCAGCCTGGGCAACAAGAGTGAAACTCCGTCTCAAAAAAAAATAAATAAATAAATATAGTGTGTGTATGGGGGACAGTTTTAAAAACATCTGTTAGGCCGGGTGTGATGGCTCACTCCTGTAATCCCAGCACTTTGGGAGGCTGAGGAAGACGGATTACAAGGTCAGGGGTTCGAGACCAGCCTGACCAACATGGTGAAACTCTGTCTCTACTAAGAATACCAAAAAAAAAAAAAAAAAAAAAAAAAAAAAAAAAAAAAAAAAAGGCTGGGTGTGGTGGCTCATGCCTATAATCCAAGCACTTGGAGGCCAAGGCAGGCGGATCACCTGAGGTCGGGAGTTCAAGACCAGCCTGACCAACACTGTGAAACCCCATCTTTATTAAAAAAAAAGAATATAAAAAAAATTAGCCAGGCATGGTGGTTCATGCTTGTAATCCCAGCTACCCAGGAGGCTGAGGCAAGAGAATCGCTTGAATTCTGGAGGCAGAGGTTGCAGTGAGCTGAGATCATGTCCGTGCACTCCAGCTTTGGCAACAGAGTGAGACTCCTTCTCAGAAAAAAAGAAATCTGTTTCGGGGATGGGCAGAGTGGCTCATGTCTGTAATCCCAGCATTTTGGGAGGCCAAGATGGGCCTCCCAAATTACAGGTGTGAGCCACTGTGCCCGACTACATTTCTGCTGTGTCTAAATCACCCACTCTAAGGTATTTTTGTGGTAGTAGCCCAGATGGACTAAGACAGAGCCCAAGTGTAGATTGCTTTGAGCTCAGGTGTTTGAGACCAGCCTGGGTAACATGGTGAAAACCCTTCTCTACAAAACAAACAAACAAAACAAAACAAATAAAATGAAATCAGCTGGGCATCGTGGCATACATTTGTAATTCCAACTACTCAGGAGGCTGAGGCTGAGAATCACTTGAACCTAGGAGAAGGAGTAGGATGCAGTGAGGAGATGGAGCCACTGCATTCCAGCCCGGGTGACAGAGCGAGACCCTGTTTGAAAAAAAAAAAAAAGACTCAGTGGCGGTGCGGTGCTGAGCTGTAGCTATTGACACAAGATAAGCACTTTAAACAGAATTGGTCAGCTACTGGCAGCCTGACGTCATGGAAAGCACTTGGACTTTGGAACCAAAGAAACTCAGGCAAGTCTCAGTAATGTTTCTTTGTTTTAAAATTGAGACAAGGTCTCTCTATGCTGCCTAGGCTGGGTCTCCAACTCCTGGGCTCAAGCCATCCTCCTGCCTCGGCCTCCCAAAGTCCTAGGATCACAGGTGTGAGTCACCGTGCCCAGCCTCCAGTAATATTTCAAAACATCTCTGAACCTGTTTCCTCATGGGTAACTGTATTCTTTGCTACTGGATTCTTCACTGGGTTGAGGTTTAAGCCTGGGGGCAAAGGCCCCCAGCCCAGTGTAACAGTAGTAATCTACATCTCAAGTCAGGACTTCGGAATTCTGATTCCAGGAAAACACCTACTTTCCTGGTTGAGTAATTTTTTGTTTTTTGTTTTTTTGAGACAGAATCTTGCTGTCACCCAGGCTGCAGTGCAGTGGCGCAATCTCGGCTCACTGCAACCTCTGCCTCCTGTGTTCAAGCGATTCTCCTGCCTCAGCTGCCTCAGCCTTCTGAGTAGCTGGGATTATAGACAAGTGCCACACGCCCAGCTAATTTTTGTATTTTTGGTAGAGATGGGGGTTTTACCATGTTGGCCAGGCTAGTTTTGAACTCCTGACTTCATGATCCACCTGCCTCAGCCTCCCAAAGTGCTGGGATTACAGGCCTGAGCTACTGGGCCCAGCCGATTGAGTAATTTTAAAGAGATTCTAAGTTCCATCTCTAGATTTGCATGTTTGCAGTTTTTAAATCGAAAAGTGCGTTTATCTCAAAAGCACAGAATTATCAAGAATTTTAATACGGATTTGTTTATAATGTAAAAATGGGAAACAAATGGCCTCCAGTAGGAAATTAATTTAATAAATCCGAATCGCCATGCAATGGAATACTTTACGGCATTAAGATTATGCTTTTGAAGACTATTTAGTGAGAAGAAAAATGTTCATGATGAAATATTAAGTAAAAAGAAAGGCAGTAAACAAAACATCATACAATATGACCCCACTGCAGAAAAACAAAATACACACAGAAATACAACCGCCAAAGGACCCCAAGGGAACGCCTCCCCCTGAGAAATAGGAGTGAAGAGAAGTTACTTTCTTCCCTGTAGTTCTATGTCTTTTCTAGCTTCCCATCAATATCATGTATTGTATTTAAATCCGAAAATACCCCGTGTTATTAGTGAGACGTCGTCGGGGGCCCCGAGACACCCGCCAGCCCGGGACAGACCCCTGCGCCCCCTGGCGGCGCCCCGAGGCCCCGCCCCACGAGGCCCGCGCGACGGGGCGGGGCGCGGAGCCCCTGCCGAGCCCAGCCCTGCCTCGCCCGGCAGGACTTGCAGCAGTCGGACTTGCTCGGAACGTTCCGTCGGCTGCGGCGCAGGCAAGCCTGGGGGCCGGGGACCGCGCCGTTCGGGACTGTGGGTGGCGGTGGGGATTGGGCCAGGGCTGGGGCGGCCCCGAGCCGGGGCCCCTAAACTTTTCGGAGCGCGCTCCCGGCTGGCCCGCTCCCGGGCCCAAGGAGCCCGCCCCCGAATGGGGATCTCTCGCACTGGCCCTTGGCGTTTCGCTCTCCTTGGGAGCCCGGGTGGGCGGCCGGGTCTGTAGCACCTGGTTAGCCTTGGGAACCCAGCAGCATGTTGTGGGCACCGGTGAGCGGAGCCAGGGTCTGAGGGTGTCTTCGTGCCCGCTCTTGCGGGCACGAGTGCCCTCTCTGTCGCAGGGCCTGTCTACCATGCCAGCCCCAGTGGCCAGCTGTGTGGGATGAGGCCTTCATGGCCCTCAGCTGGTGAGAAGAGGGAAGAGGGAGGGGAGACAGCCAGGGCCCAGCCAGGACCCCAGGTTGCCTCCGCTGTACCTGGGGGCACATCTTGGTATAGACAGGTGAATATTTCAGGGGTAGGGAAGGAGGGGGGTCCTAGCTTGCAGCTGGGGCGGAAGCCAGTGGGCAGCCCAAGTATTTGGTATGGGGAAGTGGCCACCCCTGTCACCATGACTTTGCCCTCAGACTGTCCCACTTCCAGCCACTGTTCCCAGGCTGGCTTCACAGAGTTACAGGAGAGTACCAGCCTCCTCGTGACTTCTTTGGGTCAGAGTGAAAACAAAACAGGGAAATGGGAAATGGGAAAAGGGAAAGCAAGTGGAGAGGCTGGGGCAGGAGCCAGGGACCAGTGGGAGGAAGCAGAGGGAGGCTGCAGGGAGGCACGGCCCTGACCTTGTGGTCTGCACCAGTTCTTGTCCTGTGGGGTCTCCATCTCCTCTCACCCGGCTGTGGCCTCTGCGTGGTACCCAGGAGTTTGGGGTTCTACCTGAGCACCCTGGACATGGGATAAGTAGGCGTGGGAACCAGGGTCAGAGCCAGATGTCATGGAAGGGCCCTCAGGTGTCCAGTTCTCTGAGCTCTGAAATATTCATCTCATTGGTGAGCTTTGGTTTCAAAGCTGGCGCCTTTGGGCCAGCCAGCGGTGGCAGGGGAGCCAGGTGCCTCCTGAGGCTGCTTTGTCAGTGCAAAAGGGGGAGCCATCCTTCCTCCTCACCTACCTCTCCCTGTCTCTCTAGTCATGAGGATCCAGAGAACCCGTTTATAGCTTAAATAGAAATGGCAAAACCACAGTGTCAGGGGCCCTGTCTTCCTGTCTTCTTGTGTCATGACCACAAGGCCTCACTCGTAAAAATGAGCACATCAGAGAGGTAATGATGGGTTATCCCGTAAGTGTTGGGAGAGCCTCATGTCATGAGCTGGCGTAATAGCCACCTGGGCTCAGCCTTCTCCCCCTGAAAATGGGTGCCTCTGCCGGATGCTGCCTACCTCAGAGCACCTCCAACCCCAGACCTCACCCTGGCCCCTTCAGAAAGAGCAGAAGCCACAGAGTAGGGACACACACACTTTGTTTGCAGAGGGCTGAACTGGGAGGACCAGAGAGTGGACGCTCATATAATTCTCTGGGAAGAAGTTCTGCTAACAACATGGCTGGCCGTGACAGGGGCCTTCTGGACCTATTATTCTGTTGGGGACACTGTGGAAGGGATGACCTTGACAGAATCTTCCAACCCTAGAAGTCTGAGATTCTAAGCCAAAACCTGGGTCTAGTTTTGAAGTAGAAATGATATCCAGAAGTCTGTGGGCCACAGTGGCAGGTACTTCCATTGGTGGGGAGGGAGATAATAATGAGTCCCCACTTTTGTCTGTAATGATCTGTGCTTTGCCCTGTTGCACAGAGGTGAGGTTGGTGGGGGGGGGGTGCCTGTTTCCTGGTTCTGTGCTAGCTGGAGATGTCCCCCAGTCCTTGGCAGTAAATCCCACCGTGGGATAGCAGCTGTGTGGAATGGGGAAAGGGAAGGACCCTTGCTGAGGATCCTGGCACCAGGCTGACCCCCTGACAGTGAGAGGTCATGTCTAGTACTTCATGTGACTGCTCTGAGGGGCAGCTGGGTATACGCACAGAGGTTTTAAGAGACCAGGAGTCATGAATGATTCTCAGGGTTGGATGTCTGTAACACAAAGGTGGCCTGAGGCCTGGTACAGTGGCTCATGCCTGTAATCCCAGACTTTGGGAGGCCAAGGTGGGTGGATCACAAGGTCAGGAGTTCAAGACCAGTCTGGCCAAGATAGTGAAACCCCATCTCTACTAAAAATACAAAAATTAGCCAGGTGTGGTGGCGGGCACCTGTAATTCCAGCTATTCGGGAGGCTGAGGCAAATAACTGCTTGAACCCGAAAGATAGAGGTTCCTGTGAGCCAAGATTGCATCACTGTACTCCAGCCTGGGCGACAGAGCGAGACTCCGTCTCAAAAAAAAAAAAAAAAAAAAAAAAAAAAAAAAAAAAAAAGGCGGCCTGAATCAGCATCCCACAGCATTTTAATAGGTTTTCCTTGATGAAAGTGGCTCAGGCTTAAGGAAGTTTGAAGGAACGCTGGGTTAAACAAAGCTGAACAGGGCTGCTTGCTGCAGGACTTCTCAGGGGCTGAATATGCCATTGCCAGTTTCCAAGAAGGGGGTGTGGATTGTTTCTAAGACTCATCTGTTTCCAGCACTCATCCATTAATGTCTCCTGGGGCGTGTTCTTTAGAGCAGTCTGGGAAATGCCTGGCTTGGTGATTCTGTTTCTCCACTCCCTGGCTCCCATAAACGGGTCCCTACACCTTTCCCCGACGTGGGCTGATTTAGGGATAAAAGGAGGCCAGGGGAGGTCATTTGCCCAGATTCCTGCAGCTAGTTCATGAACCCAGGTCAGTGGACTTCCTTCTGGCTCCTATTCTTTCTTTCCTAGAGGGTAATACTGTTTAGCTTGGGAGTAACTGATCACCCAGGAAGAGCTGGCCGGTGAGGCCAGACAGCATTATGGGGACAGTTTGGGAGGGAGAATTATGGACAGCCCTAGACTGAGAACATGCCATGTACTTCTGCCTCTGAAGATGTCCTCTGAAACATTGGCACATTAGTAGTGACTCCCTGGTATAGGTTCTTGGGGAGCCATGCCATTGTGCCCTGAAGCCTTCTTTAGGCTCTTCATTCAGAATCAGAGACTGGCAGTTAGAATGGACTTTGATCTTTCAGTTTTGTTGTTGTTGTTGTTTTAAAATAGAGATGGAGTTTCACCATCTTGGCCAGACTGGTCTTGAACTCCTGGCCTCGTGATCCACCCATCTTGTCCTCCCAAAGTGCTGGGATTACAGGTGTGAGCCACCGCACCTGGCCTTTATTATTATTATTATTATTATTATTATTATTTTATTTTTATTTTTTTTGTATTTTTAGTAGAGACGGGGTTTCACTATGTTGACCAGGATGGTCTCGATCTCTTGACCTCGTGATCCACCCGCCTCGGCCTCCCAAAGTGCTGGGATTACAGGCTTGAGCCACCGCGCCCGGCTTATTATTTTATTTTTTAAAGACAGGGTTTCACCATGTTGGTCAGGCTGGTCTTAAATTCCTGACCTCAGGTGATCTGCCCGCCTTGGCCTCCAAAGTGCTTGGGTTACAGGTATGAGCCACCATGCCTGGCCTCTTTTTTTTTTTTTTTTTTTTTTTGACAGTGTCTCTCACTCTGTCACCCAGGCTGGAGTGCAGGGACATGATCTTGGCTCACCGCAACCTCTGCCACCTGGGTTCAAGCGATTCTCCTGCCTCAGCCTCCCAAGTAGCTGGGATTACAGGTGCCTGCCACCACGCCTGGCTAATTTTTGTATTTTTAGTAGACAAGGTTTCATCATGTTGGCCAGGCTGGTCTTGAACACCTGACCTCAAATGATCCGCCAGGCCCGGCCTCCCAAAGTGCTGGGATTACAGGTGTGAGCCACCGTACCTGGCTGATCTTTCAGTTCAGGGGAATTATCTTACTGATGTTAAAACCGGAGTCTAGAGATGTGACTCTCACATTCTAGCTCTCAAATTGGAGTCAGTCCCAAAACCAGGACAAGAATTCAGGTCCCTGCCTCCTAACCCAGGACCCAGCCTTCAGATCAACTTTCTGCAGGGAAAAGAAATTGGTACAAACAGCTTGCTCAGCTCCTTTCTATCTTTTTGATCTTTGCTGCCTGACCCCGACCCTCGGTGCTGCTTGTTCACGAAGGTGCCTGCTAGGGGTGCCTCAGGGGCTTTTTACTCCTGATTGATATAAAAGCAAAGACACTACCTGGTTTATCCTGCCAGTAGCATTTAAAAAAAAAAAAAAAAAAAAAAAAGCAAAGAGGCTGAATTTTAAATCAGGCATGAGATCTGGGCTTAAACCCATCTCTGCTGTTTGCCTGCTGTGGGACCCTAGTTCTCTTTTTCTCTGAATTTTAGTTTTCTCATCTAGACAGTGGGATAGGGGTAAGAATACCTCACAGGGCTGTTGTGAGGATCACATGTGCCTTAGTTGCTACAGGTTGAGTATCCCTTATCCAAAATGGCGACCATTTTGACAGTTTCCTTTCCCTTTCCTCCTTTTTTTTTTTATTTTTATTTTTATTTTTTGAGACGGAGTTTCGCTCTTGTTACCCAGGCTGGAGTGCAATGGCGCGATCTCGGCTCACCGCAACCTCCGCCTCCTGGGTTCAGGCAATTCTCCTGCCTCAGCCTCCTGAGTAGCTGGGATTACAGGCACGCGCCACCATGCCCAGCTAATTTTTTGTATTTTTAGTAGAGACGGGGTTTCACCATGTTGACCAGGATGGTCTCGATCTCTTGACCTCGTGATCCACCCGCCTCGACCTCCCAAAGTGCTGGGATTACAGGCTTGAGCCACCGCGCCCGGCCTCCTCCTTTTTTTTTTCTTTTTTTTCGAGACGGAGTCTCGCTCTGTTGCCCAGGCTGGAGTGCAGTGGTGCGATCTTGGCTCACTGCAACCTCTGCCTCCTGGGTTCAAGTGATTCTCCTGCCTCAGCCTCCTGAGTAGCTG